TAACCCTGTTGATGTGACTTTGTGACTTTATTCCTTGATACATTCATTCAGCAAACTTTCTTTACCTTGTCTTATCAAAGGCATTACAGTAGGTTTATACAAGCTTGCTATTAAGGAATATATAATCTAGTAGTATGAAGTTTTTTTGAGCATTGAGCACCCCACATCACAAGTGGAAAATTTCACACCTAACCTCACATGGTGGGCTCCGGTCAAAATACAGGGATACAGAAAATATTCTGTAAAATTGTCCTCAGTTTGTGTACATCTCAAGGTGTATATGAAACCTAAATTTTGTGTTCAGATTTGGCTTCCATCCCTCAGTAGCTCATTATGTATTATATACAGATATTCCAAAATTCAAAAAATCTAAAATGCTTTTGGTTTCATGCATTTCAGATGAAGGATGCTTAGCCTGCAAAGAAAAAATGTTTACATTATTAATATTCACAACAGGATTGAGGCCATGAGAATGTCTTAAGAAACTTGTGTGGTGGCCCATGCCTGTAATTGTGAAGATGAGGCAGGAGAATTGCAAGTTTGAAGATAGCCTCTTAACTTAGCAAGACCCTGACTGTAAATGAAAAATAAAAAGGAAGGAAGGAAAAAAGAAAAAGTGCTGTGATAGCTGTTAGCTAGAGATAATGAGTTAGGTGGAAGTCCAGGAGGGCATCATGGAGTTGGTAGCATCAGAAGATATGTGACCACGAAATTCAGCCTTGAATGGTTTCTACAGGTAAGCAAGGGGACATGAGCAAAGGCAGGAAAATGAAAGGTCTGCTTGCAAGACACCAAGGTTCCATTCATTCATTGGATGGTGGTGAGGAATCCAAGGAGATGATGCTGGAAAAGGGAATTGAGCTGGACGTGTGGGGCCTGGAACTTCAGGCTAAATAGTTGGTGTGTATTCAGTGGATCCTGGAAGGGGCTGAAGGCTTTAATGATAGAATTAAATTTGTACTCTAGGAAGAATAATGAGCACTGTGCAGTGCACACTGGACAAGGGAGACCAGAGACCAGGAGACCTGTTTTTTAAAAGGTACTGACCTGGGACAGTGGCAGTGGGAATGGAAATAAAGAGGCTTACAATGAGGTAATATGTTGCCTCAGTGTCTGTCCTTATCTGTGGTACTCCTGACAAAGTCCTGTGAAGCCTGACTGCATGTGGCACTGTGACATATGCTGCAAGTAAGCAGGCTCTCTAGGTGTCGCTGTTGCCCTCAGGGACCTCTTGTTTAATATTTTTTTTTGTTGTAGATGGACACAACAGCTTTTATTTGTTTGTTTGTTTGTTTGTTTGTTTGGGGGTACCAGGGATTGAATTCAGGGGCACTCAACATCCCCAGCCCCATTTTGTATTTTATTTAGAGAACAGGGCCTTACTGAATTGCTTAGTGCTTCACCGTTGCTGATACTGGCTTTCAACTTGCGATCCTCCTCTCTCAGTCTCTGGAACTGCTTGGATTACAGGCTTGTGTCACTGCGCCTGGCGCTTGTTTATTTATTTTTGGGTGGTATTGAGGATTGAACCCAGTGCCTGCCTCACATGCTAGGCAAGTGCTCCCTCCACCACTGAGCCATAACCCCAGCCTCATCAGGGACCTCTTCTTTAGGAGGACAAACTGCTCAAGATCAGGGACCACATCTTAGATTCTTCCCTTGTCCTGTTCTTTGACAGGCACACTGACACTGGCTTTATTGGGTACAATAAGTAAAAATATAGGAAGTTAGTAGACAAGGTGGTGTGTTCCTGCAGTTTCAGTTTCTTGGGAGGCTGAGGCAGGAGGATTGCTTTGAGTCCTAGGAGTTCAGGCCTGCCTGAGCAATATAGCAAGACCCTGTCTCAAAAACAATAAAACCAGACTGCGGCTAGATTTGGAATTTCAGATAAGCAATGGATCAACCCAACCCACCTGTCCCACCCTTTGTGTGTAGGGGGGTGTATGTATTTTGCCAGGAATTATAACCAGAGCAGGGCCTCATATTTGCTAGACAAAGCACTCTACCACTGATCTATGTCTTCAGCCCAGATTTTTTTTTTTTTTAAACAGCATCAGGGATTGAATCCAGGGACACTTAACCATCAAGCCATATCCTCATCTCTTTTTATATTTTATTTTGAGACAGGGCCTTGCTAAGTTGCTGAAGCTGACTTTGAATTTGCAGTCCTCTTGCTTCAGTCTCCTGAGCTACCAGATCATGTCTTAAGTATGTCTTGTGAAATATGTGAGACATACTTATGTTAGAAAATTATTTGTCTTTTGTCTGAAGTTCCAGTTTAACTGGATATCCTGTACTTAATCTGCCAATCCTAAGTGCCCCTTCATTCTCTGCTCCTGGCTTTGGGTTCAGGTTCTTCCTCTCATGAAAGTTCCTCTCTTCCCTGTTTTCTACCTGTTACCTCCTGAATTTGTTTCCTAGAGGGTCAAAAGAGTCAAAAAGAATATGTATTTGCCAGGAGAGGAATTGAAATAGTAATCTGGGGACGTGTGCCTTGACTCGGGGGTCAGAACTTGATACCTACATGCAGCATGAGGGCACAGCTTTTCTGTCTAACCAAAAGGACAGGGAAACAGAAGAAAGACCTTTCATTCAAATGCCATAGGGGCCAGGAGTGCATCAGGCCCTTAGAGAACCTTCCAGATTTCTGTCCAGTGTCTCAGAATATACCTAGGGCCCCTGAAATTCCTAAAGTTTGCCTCCTGCACCCCACCTCTATCTCATTTCCCTTTTCCGGTTCCTCTGCTTCACCCACATTCCACAGAGGAACTTGGAACTCTTGAAAGCAGTCAGTTTCTGAGCTCGTACTGTTTCCTTTGCCTAAAACACCTTTCCTGAATTCTTTATACACTAGCTCTGCTCTTTTCCTTACTCTTTCCCATTGCAGCCTGGGTCAAGGATCCTCTTTTTGAGTTCCCAAAGCACCCTGAACAAACTGCCCTCATAACTCTTTCCACACTTGATTGGTTTCACCTTTTACTTGAGTGCATGTTCCATAAAAATGTGAGCTTTCTAAAGGACAAGAACCTGCTCCTTATTGTCCTCCTTGCTTACCATTGTGCCTACACCCAGGAAGTGCCCATTAAATATGTGCTGAATGAATGGCAGGGCTTTGGAGTCTCCACTACCTCTTACTTTGCTATCTGTGTTCCTTAGGATCATCAAACCCCTCCGCCTGCCCCCTGACACAGAAATAAGACACTTCATACTTGAAGACTGGGAAAAATTTCAGTACTTTTCATTAGTTTCAAAGAAAACCTATTGGACTAGGGTAGCTCAGTGGAGTACTTGCCTCACATGGGGTAGAAGTCTTTTTTTTTTAATTGGAGATTGAACCTAGGTGCTCTTTACTTCTGATCTACATCCCCAATTTTTTTTTCTTTTTAAATTTTTTTAGTTGTTGATGGACCTTTATTTATTTATATGCAGAGCTGAGGATCAAACCCAGTGCCTCATACATGCTAGGCAAGCACTCTGCCACTGAGCTATACCCCCAGCCCCATCCTCAGTTCTTTTTATTTATTTATTTTTAAAGAGAGAGTGAGAGAGATAGAATTTTTTAAATATTTATTTATTTATTTTAGTTTTCATCGGACACAACATCTTTGTATGTGGTGCAAAGATCAAACCCGGGCTGCATGCATGCCAGGCGAGCGTGCTACCACTTGAGCCACATCCTCAGCCCAAGTTCTTTTTACTTTTTGTTTTTAGACAGGGTCTTGCTAAGTTGCTGAGGCTGGCCTCAAACTTGTGATCCTCCTGTCTCAGCCTCCTGAGTCATGGGATTGTTACAAGTTAATGCCATGGTGCCCAGCACAGAAAACTTACCTGATTAGTCCCAGTCCTGGACATGCCCACCCTTCCCTTCCTTCTGGACAGAATAGTAAGGCCCCAAGGATCTGGACAAGAGTTGCTGTTTCATGCCCTTCAGATCCAGGCTCTGCTCAGAGCCCAAGCAGTAGATTCCTATAAGGCTGTTCTTCCTGCCACACTCCCTTCTGCACACAACCTCTGAGTCTTCTGCAACCATCTTCCTCACTGGCACCAAATGCCCTCTCTCAAGGCATTTAGATATGTGGCCTGTTAGACATGAGAGAATAAATAACAGGAACTACACTCATCACCCCCTCACAAGGCCCCCAGTCTAAGAAAAACCCAACCTGATCATAGGTAATGAACAAGAACACAGAAGAACAGTATTTTCTGTAAGTGGGTAAGTGGGTCTGGGGTCCTCCACTGGGTGGGTTGTGGAGAGATTTGGTGGTGTCTTACACACTGGGCAGAGGAGAATTATATGAAGTGCTAGGAACCCAGGTGGACAGACAGCCCATGAATCTCAAGGATGTACATGACCTCAGCTGCTGCAGGTCTTCCTTTGTCATACTACTAGGGACAGGCCAGACTGAGAGAGAGGGTATCTTTAGAATGCCACTGTGAGCTTTTTCGTAAACACCCAGCCAGTGCCAGCAAACATCTCTGGGACAGTAATCAGTAGTCCAGAGGGACATCTTCTGATCTGGGCTTTCAGTTCCAAAGCTGCCCTTCCCTATGTGCTTTTCTGCAGATTCTTCCCCTTAGTACCTAAAACCAGCCCTGCTGGTGGAACAGGGGAGGCTTCCGGGAATTGGCAAATTGGTGTGGGCAGCAGGGACCTGCAGGAAGTGTGGAAGAGGCTGCCACAGTTCTCTTGTATAGCCCTTTCCTATGATTGGTGGCTCAACCTGGGAAACTTTGGGGAGGGCTCCCCAAGCTGCTACTCAGGATCACAGCTAGCTAACTGCCAAAGGGCCCTGTGGCCTATGGTTCCTGCTTTTCAGGCTGACTCGGGACCTGGATGTTGGAATAGATCCAAACGCTGAAGTGCAACCTCAGCCTTGGGCCTCTTCTGGTGTGTGCTAATGGAACTGGCACCCCAGAGCAGGGCCCTCAGGGGACTCRGCTAACTTCTTTTGGGAAGCACTCTTTGCTTCCGGCCTGTTCCACACAGTCTCTCTCTACAGGTACCTGAAGGAGTTCCGTACGGAGCAGTGCCCACTCTTTGTGCAACACAAATGTACGCAGCATCGGCCCTACACCTGTTTCCACTGGCACTTCGTGAACCAGCGGCGCCGCCGATCCATTCGTCGTCGTGACGGCACCTTCAACTATAGTCCTGACGTCTACTGCACCAAGTACGACGAGGCAACAGGCCTCTGTCCAGAGGGCGACGAGTGAGTGCCCAGCCTGCTCTCAGAGGAGCTCCAGATCTCATCAGTCAGCTGCCCTAAGAGTAGGCCAGGCAGATTCTGTAATACCAGTCAGAGGCTGCTTTGGGAAGAATTATCTGGACCCAGCCTGCCTTCTTGTATCTTAAACCTGGGCTCAGACTCTGCCATCCTGAGGGTATAGGGGATGGGGAGCTYTCTGTTTTTTCTTTTCCTACTTTACAGAAATCCAAAATAGGTCTATCTTCCATAGGCCTAAGGGGCCACATTTGAACCCAGGTGGCTCCCAGTGTCTTCTTTCATCCTCCCCTGCAGATCTCACAGACCTTCTCCCTATCCCTCCACCACCCCCTACATCTTGCACAGTTCTCATGAGGGCTGGCAGTTTAGAGAGCCTCTCTAGTTCCCTGATTTGTTTACCCTAAACATTCCACGGATTTCTCTAAAGGAACAGTACACTGCTAGCCAGGCATGGTGGCATGTGATTATACTCCAAGCCACTCAGGAAACTAAAACAGGAGGATCACAAGTTTGAAGCCAGCCTTAGCAACTTAGTGAGACCTGGGGATGTAGTTCATTGGTAGAGCACCCTTGGGTTTGATCCCTCTTATTGAAAAAGAAAGTTATTAGTAATGACAAATACATCCCCAAAGGGAATATTCACTGGCCGTGCTTTGTCGTGTCTCAACTTGCAGAGACTGATGGGAGGCACCAGGGGGATACAGCTTACCATACCATCCCTGCCTCTCAGTCTCTCTTTCTCACAAAGGTCGGAGGCTTGCTGTCCCTCTTCTGGGCCTATTGAAGCACTCAGGATGTGAGGGGCTGCCTCAAAGATTGATTATTTCTCTGAGATTCCCTAGTCTGGACGGTGTTTGTTCTGTAGGCAGCTTAGGAACACCAGGTCTATTGGACCATCCAGGCCRTAGCACTCAAGTGGTGGAGCCATGGTAGCAGGAGAGCTCATCATTGCCTTTCTCCTTGAGCAACTGTCACTGCCCCTCTGAGTCATGGGACAACATTTCAATGGTTGGGGGAAGGGTAGGGTCGAGGAAAGCAGCCCAGGCTGCAAAGGGCAAAGCTGAGTAACTTCTACTAYTGTGTTCCAGGTGCCCATTCCTGCACAGGACCACAGGAGACACTGAACGCAGGTACCACCTTCGTTACTATAAAACTGGAATCTGCATTCACGAGACCGACTCAAAAGGCAACTGCACCAAGAACGGCCTGCACTGTGCTTTTGCCCACGGGCCCCATGACCTCCGCTCCCCTGTCTATGACATCAGGTGGGCTAGGTACTGGTCTGGGGTCTGGTGGCTACTTGTAGTGACTGTAAAGCATGGATGGTACTGTTTCCTGCTCTCATGCCTCTTCCCAACCCTCTCCTTTCCTCTTCCAGGGAGCTCCAGGCCATGGAAGCCTTGCAGAATGGCCAGACCACAGTAGAGAGCAGCATAGARGGCCAGTCTTCTGGGGCTGCAAGCCATGCAATGATAGAAAAAATCCTCAGTGAGGAGCCTCGCTGGCAAGGTATAGGCGCCACACAAGTGGCCATGCTCCCTCCAGCAAGACTTCTTCCCCCTCCCCTTTGCTGCCCATAGCTGCCCTAAGAGCTCAATTCACAATTACCTACTACCTTTTCCAACCAAAGCTACCAGCTCTTCTGGGAACCACCCTGCCCTCTCATCCCTCATACCTGCGATTCAAAAGGCACTTATAGGGACTTTCCCAGATACACGGTGTTCCCAAGATACTTCAGGCTTTCATGCACATATGTAAGTACACGTGCATGTGTTCTCCACACTCAAGGGGAGCCCTTTAAGCCCTGTGAGTTGTGAGTGTCTCCAGTGAGGGGTAGTGTCCTGCTTAGCTAATTGGACTCTCAGCCTTGGCTTTGACCTCTTCAACGTACCCGTGGCCTGTAAGGAGGTGCCTGCTCATACCTGTCATGGGAACCTCAGCTCTACTACCCTTTCCCAGTGGCTTCTCCTTTCCTTCCCTCCACTCGACTCCTCCTGTTCTTGGGTGTTCCAGCTCCACTCCCTGACCCCTGCCCTCTGGCCCCCTGTGCAGAGACCGCTTATGTGCTGGGGAACTATAAGACGGAGCCGTGCAAGAAGCCCCCGCGGCTGTGCCGCCAGGGCTATGCCTGTCCCTACTACCACAACAGCAAGGACCGGCGGCGGAGCCCCCGGAAGCACAAATACAGGTCCTTTGGCCCCAGGAGGCCAGCCACGGGAGGGAGGAGTGGCAGGGAAGGGATCTTGGCTGAGGCTGCTACCACTGTGGCTCTCAGGAAGATGGGGAGGCCAGTCCTGGGGATTACAGGGTCATAGGACTCAGATTTAGGGGAGGGACTAATATGAATGGCTGAACAGTGGGAGCCTAGACCAGCTCTTGCATGAATAAAAACCCTGATCAGTTTGAGGCCCATCCATTTCTGGGCCTGCAGGGTGTGAGCTAGAGCAGGGCCAGGCCACAGTATGGGAAGTGTGGTCATGGCTGTGGCATAATTCTCCTCAGGCTGGTGTGGGCTCAGCTCCTAGCCAAGGGGAGCATACAGGGCCCTCCTTGGTGATACAGCCAGTCTGGGCTGGAGGATCAACCTGGCTGTTGGCACTAGTGAGGCCTTCACTCTGCAGTTGGTCTTTTCCATTTCTGCACCTGCCCCTGTAAGGCAGGGATACCAGAGGGGCCCAGAGCAGGTATCCAAMTGGCACCTTCTAGGCCCTGATCTCATCGTCTTTTTCCTCCATCTGACCCTTCCTTTGTTGGACCAGGTCGTCTCCTTGTCCAAATGTCAAACATGGGGACGAGTGGGGAGATCCCGGCAAGTGTGAGAACGGAGATGCCTGCCAGTATTGCCATACCCGCACAGAGCAGCAGTTCCACCCAGAGGTGTGTCCTTAGGTTGGGGACTGAAGTCTTTTGAGGGACCATGGATTGTTAGCATATCCCTTCAGAAGCCAGGAAAGAGACAAAAGAGGGTGAAGGCAGCTGCTGGTACCAACCTGAAAGAGGGATCCTCAAGCAGAGCCTGCAAAAGCCTGACTCCTGAGCATGCTGCTTCTCTTGTTCTGAGCCCATCCACCTGTTACAGATTTCTACTTCAGTTTGTTTCTGAGGTTGCTTGACATCGGGGATATGGGCTAAGTATGATGGCCTAGCCATTCTGGGTTTTATGCCACTCATTGTGATTATAATCCAGTGACACTAGGATTTAAAAAATGAAAAAGCCCCTTCTAGCTGTCTTGTCCCAGGTCAGAGCATAGGAGACAGCAACTCCCTAACACAGTTCCCCTGCCCACCTGGGCCTTGTCAGTGTTCCTATGTTTTTGTTTTTGTTTTTTGTTTTTTAGATTTACTTTATTTTTTAAAAATTGTTTTGTAGTTATAGATGAACAGAATGCCTTTATTTTGTGTGTAGATGGTGCTAAGGATCGAACCCAGGGCCTTGCACATGCCAGGCAAGTGCTTTGCCACTGTGCTACACCAGCCCTGTTCCTATGTCTTTTTTTAAAAATATTTTTTAGTTATATATGGGCACAATATCTTTATATTGTTTGTTTATTTTTATATGGTGCTGAGGATTGAATCCAGGGTCTCACATGTGAGAGACCAGTGCTCTACTGCTGAGCCACAACCCAGCCCTGTTCCTATGTCTTATGCAACAAAGAGTCAACATGCTGTCCCTGCCATTGGGTCCATGGAAGCCAGGACACCTTGAGGGAGACACTGAGACAGAGATGACCTCATGTTGCTGTAGACAGCAGAATGGGAGGTTAGGGCCAGTACAGACCACAACCCAGGGTACCCAGGCAGAGGGCACATTGGGAGTGGCTGTGTGCTGCTTCAGGTGTTGGCATACTTAAAAGCATAGCCCTGGTCAAGATCAGGAGTAGAGCCAGTGCCTTCATGAGGCTGGATGGACCAAGGAGGACATTGGTGGCAGTGGGGGTGACAGAGGGCTGTACTTTCTAGGTGCAGGAGTTTGAGTAAGAGATTGGTGGAGAGAGGCCCAAGCTAGTCTATCCTATTCAAGGAGGGGGAGCCTGCCTTTTACTCTTGGCTGAGTCTGACTGGTCTCTGCTCTGCTTTGTCTCTTCCAGATCTACAAATCCACCAAGTGCAATGACATGCAGCAGTCAGGGAGCTGTCCCCGAGGACCTTTCTGCGCCTTTGCTCATGTAGAACGTATGCTGTTCCCATTGCCCGGGGCAGTACCCTCTCTTTCCTCCCCTCCTCTAACCCTCTGCTCAGGCTCAGGCAAAGGACCACCACCTGGCAGCAGGCCATGCACAGGAGTCCTTATCTGCCAGCAGCAGGCCCTGTTCCCACCGAAAGTCCCATTACCTTGCCCTTCTGGAACTGGCCTTAAAACCTGGAACTTCCAAGGTCATGAGACAAAGACTATAGGAACCACCCCCTTGGTTGGTACTAGCAGTCCTAGGAAAAGTAAGGTACTATGTTTCCTGTATCCAAGTTGGCAGGTTTCACCAGCCACCCCATGTCACCCATGACAGACATCATTAATGGAACTTGAACCTCTTCTCTACTGAGCTGTGCTCAGTCCTGTAGAACAACGCTACCCAATCTGAATATAATGTGGCCTTGTATGTCATTTAAAAGTTCTGAGTAACATACTAAGATAAGCAAAGAAAACAGGTTAAATTGATTTTAACATTTTTAGGTAGCCTGACACAAAATGTTGCCTTTTTAATAGGTAATCAATATAAAAAATGAATCAAGATATTTTACTTTTTGCCAAGTGTGGTGGTATATATGTGTAATCCCAGCCACTCTGGACGCTGAGACAGGAGAATTATAAATTCGAGGCCAGCCTCAGCAACTTAGAAAGACCCTGTCTTAAAATAAAAGTTTAAAAGGGCTGGGGATGTACCTCAGTGGTAAAGCACCTCTGGTGGATTCAATCAAGAAATAAAAAAAATTTTTTTTTTACTAAGTCTTGGACTTCTGATTTTTATTCTATTTATTTTATTTTATTTTTAGTTGCAGTTGGACACAATACCTTTATTTATGTTTATATGGTGCTGAGGATTAAACCCAGCGCCTCTTACGTGTGCTAGGTGAGTGCTCTACCGCTGAGCCACAACCCTAGCGCCTTTTTATTTATTTATTTTAGAGAGAGAATTTTTAATATTTATTTTTTAGTTTTCGGCGGACACAACATCTTTGTTTGTATGTGGTGCTGAGGATCGAACCCAGGCCGCACGCATGCCAGGCAAGCATGCTACCGCTCGAGCCACATCTCCAGACCCATGCGCCTTTTTATTTTTTAATTTATTATTATTATTTTTTAATATTTAGTTCTCGGCAGACACAACATCTTTGTTTGTATGTGTGGTGCTGAGGATCAAACCCCGGCCGCATGCATGCCAGGCGAGCATGCTACAGCTTGAGCCACATCCCCAGCCCTTAATATATATTTTTTTTTAATATTTATTTTAGTGTTGATGGACCTTTATTTTATTCATTTGTTTATATGTGGTGCTGAGAATTGAATCCAGTGCCTCACACATGAGGCAAGCACTCTACCACTGAGCCACAATCCCAGTCCCTCTTTTTAATATTTTTTTAAATTATTGTTTAGCTATAGATGGAATGGCCACAATATCTTTATTTTATTTATTTATTTGTATGTGGTGCTAAAGATCGAGCCCAGTGCCTCACATTTGAGGCAGACACTCTGCTATTGAGCCACAACCCCAGCCCCTCTTTATTTATTTTTTGGCCATATTAGAGATTAAACCCAGGGGTGCTCTATMACCATCTCCTGCTCTTTTTTTTTTCTAACTGGGAATTGAACCCAGAGATATTTTACCACTGAGATACATCTGCACCCATTTTTATTTTTATTTTTTTAAGATAGGGTCTCTTTAAGTTGCTGTAACTTGCTAAGTTGCTGAGGCTGGCCTTAAACTTGCAATTCCCCTGCCTCAGCCTTCAGAGCTACTGGGATTTATGCACTACTGTGCCTGGCATCCTCTATTTATTTGTTTGTTTGTTTTGTTGTTGTAGATTGTCACAATGTCTTTATTTTTATGTGGTGCTTAGGATCGAACCCAGGGCCCCACACATTTGAGGCACCACCGAGCGCTCCACCACCAAGCTACAACCCCAGCCCTCTTTATTTTTTATTTTGAAATAGGGTCTCTCTGAGTTGTCCAGGCTGGCCTTTCCTGCCTCAGCCTCCCAACTAGCACCTGATATATATTTTAATACTTGCAGTACATTTCAGATCCGACCAACCCATTTCAAGTGCTCAGTAGCTGTAGCTACAGGTGCCTTGTGGCTGTGTGTGGGACAGCACAGATACGTTTTACTCCAGGCCACCACTCCAGTCTCAGAGAGGAAGCAAGGGGTGACAGCCCTGTTAAGAGTGAAGAATATTGGGCTGGGATTGTGGCTCAGCGGTAGAGCACTCCTAGCACGGGTGGGACCCGGGTTCGATCCTCAACACCACATAAAAATAAAGGCATTGTGTTGTGTCCATCTACACCTAAAAATAYTAAGAGTGAAGAATAAATCAAGGCCCTTGGGAAAGAGAAGCATATTTGGAGTGCAGAGATGGTCCCTATTGAGACTGCAATTGAGATACCACAGAGAGGGGCTGGGGATGGATAGCTCAGTGGTAGAGTGCCTGCTGAGCATGCATGAGACTCTGGGTTCCATCCCCAGGACTTAAAAAAATAATAAGTTTTTTCAGTGATAGAGTGCCTGCTGATCTATACCAAAGAGAAGTGCTGAATAGGAAGGATCACATCTCAGTTCTTAGCTCTGTCACCTTGGTAGATTTAGCCCAGTTTCCTTATCTATAAAGTGGAGACATTAATAATCCTGTGTTTTGTGGTCACTATAGAGCTTCACAGTTAATGCAAAGTGCTGGTACCACATCTGGCACATAGCAAGTGCAGAAGACTCAGTCTTGATGGAAATGATATAGGAACCTTCTTCTTAGGTGCAGGGAGATGCATGATACAGAAGATAGCATGCGGGCTGGGGTTGAGGTTCAGTGGTGGAGTGCCTAGCATGTGTGAGCCACTGGGTTCAATTCTCATCATAGCATATAAAAAAGTAAAGTCCATTGACAACTAAAAAAAAATTATTAAAAGAAGAAGAAGAAGATAGCATGGGACTGAGCTAGCTCAGTAGCCTGCTGACCCCTGTCCTTCTTTTACAGAGCCACCCCTAAGTGACGACCTGCAGCCTTCCTCAGCTGTGTCCAGCCCCACCCAGCCAGGTCCCATCTTGTACATGCCATCTGCTGCTGGAGACTCGGTGCCTGTGAGCCCCTCCAGCCCGCATGCCCCCGACCTCAGCGCTGTACGTGCCTGTCCTGGGGAATGGGTGGGCACTGTGCCTGCCCAGGAGCTATTCCTGCCTCTCATGCTCCCTAAGCCTGTGCTTGGGAGGAGACCCTGACATTTGTCCTCTGGACAAATGGTTCTGCCTTTTCTGTCCCAGGGTCCTGTCAAAGTGGGGCAGCACAGCCTTGGTGCTGATTAGCTTGGATAGGGCTGAGACAGAGCCTTCTGTCACTCCTCCCCTCCAAGTCCCCCATGAGGCTCAGGGTTTTTGAGTACTTATTGCTGCCCATTGGCAGATGGAAATGGAACTGAGCCCCTTGCTGAAGACTGACTTTGAGGTGGGGATGAAGGGTGGACCATGTCCCCAGCCTGCATCATGCCCACCAGCTCCCCATCCTCTGCAGCTCCTCTGCAGGAGCAGCAGCCTGGGCAGCCCATCCAACCTGTGTGGCTCCCCACCGGGCCCTGGTAGGAAGCCACCAAACCTGGAGGGTCTCGTCTTTCCTGGGGAGGCTGGCCTAGCCCCTGGCAGCTACAAGAAAGCTCCTGGCTTCGAGAGGGAAGACCAGGTGGGAGCCGAGTACCTGAAAACTTTCAAATGCCAGGTAAGGGATAAGCAGGGTGACAGGATACTTAAGCCCAGTGAGCTTGGCCTTCTCCTGCCTGAGTTGAGGGAAACTTGGAGGAGAGGCCTGGCCACACTCTGGGAAGGATGCTTAGGAGGTAGGATTCTCTGACCTCAGCCTTTTCAGAACCAATAAGAGTGAGTAATGGGGCTGGGGATATGGCTCAAGCGGTAGCGTGCTCTCTTGGCATGCGTGCGGCCCGGGTTCGATCCTCAGCACCACATACAAACAAAGATGTTGTGTCTGCTGAAAACTAAAAAATAAATAGTAAAAAATTAAAAAAAAAAAGAGTGAGTAATGTCGATTCCCAATCAAGGACAGGAAGGCTTTAAAGGCTGTGCAGCTTCTCTAGGGCCACAGAGCTAGTCAGTAAATGAGTAGGAATTCCATCAGAGCTCAGTCCTTTTCCTGCTATGGCAGGGCCTGAGGGTGGGACAGGGGTGGGTCTCCGACTGTACCTAGAGAGAAACCTGGGCTTATCTGGGTGGAGAGGGGCAGCTCCCAGCTTAGAAATAATGGAAGGAATGTGTGTATTGGGGCGGGGGGGGGGGGGGGGGGGGATGTTAAAGGGATACATGGCAAGTAACAGGAATCTGCCATTGCCACTTGCCCCTGGTGGTCATAGTGGGGTTAGGTGTACTCCTGGACTCTGAGCTCCCTGCCACCACATTTACCTCCTCTTCCCTGACTTTTCTCTCTTAGACCAAACTGAAGCCCCATTCACTAGAGCCCAGGAGTCAAGAGCAGCCTCTGCTTCAGCCCAAACAGGTACAGAATTCTCAACCTCCATTTTCCCTTCTGGTACCTGCCATGGACAGAACAGGCCCAGAACCCTAGCAGGCTGCTGGGAGTGAGAACACTGCTGTCCCCACAAGCTAGAGTAGGAATAAGGTAGGCCCATCCCCAAATTCAGAGAAGATGAGGCTCAGGTCTGGAGTCCCTCCCTTCTAGACAGATCCATCCATCAGGTGGAATTTTAAGGGAGTGTAAACCTTACTATGCATGGCACCTACTCCTCCCCTGACTGGGGGCTTGCAGCCTCCAGGCCACATTCTTCTACTTCCAGCCTCCTAACAAGCTGGGGGATACAACTTGCCTGAGCCTGGGGAGGCCAGCTAAGAGCTGGGAGGAGCTACTTCCCTGTGCCCCTACTGGCCTGTCGTAGCCCCTGGCTGTTGCCTCTACAGGCAGGCATCCCATTGCCTCTCCTCACTCTCGTTGCAGGACGTGCTGGGCATCCTCCCTGTGGGCAGCCCTCTGACCTCAAGCATCTCTTCCAGTATCACCTCCAGCCTGGCAGCCACACCCCCCAGCCCTGCAGGCACCAGCAGCACCCCTGGCATGAATGCAAACGCTCTGCCCTTCTATCCCACCAGTGACACGGTAGAATCGGTCATAGGTAATTAGGCTGGGTCTGTTTGCAAGCCCAGTTCTAGGCCTGGAGTCAGAGACATAAGGTCTCTGAAGTGAGTTCAGATCAGCACACTAGTTACCTTAGATATCTGGCTTGGCAGAGTCAGAAGGACACTTGGGCCCTTCAAGCTGAAGGGAAAACAAGTTCCAAATATATGCCCAAGACTTAGCTCTTGGAGCTTTTTCATGCAGCTAGAGATAGGCTTATCCCAAGACATGGATCATGCTATCCCTAATTATTCTTTTACTGGGTATCCTATGAAGTGAACTATGAGCACAACTGTCCTTAGAGGACACCCTGGACTGGGGTATCACTCAGCATACACAGGTCCTGGGTTTCATCCCCAGCAGCAAGCAGTCATCCATCTGTGCTCCTTTCCTTTATCACTCATTTACGGGTGCCCACTTTTTGCCAGGTACCAAACACTGAGGAGACAGAGATGATGATGTGCTGTTCTCTGCCTCTAGGAGGGAAAACTGTCCCCATCCTCCCTCCCAGGCCACTTCAGTAGTGGGTGTTGGCATTTGTTGATCGCCTACTATGTACTGGCCACAGAGAGTCCAGAGACCTCTGAGCTCAGGGTGAGACACACATCCTGAAACATCATAAGACATTCTCCATCAGAGGCAGGGACCCTGGATTGGGACTTGATTCCTCCATGAAATGTCAAAGAAGACTTCAGAAAGGAGGACACTGGGGCTGGACAGGGCAGGCATCGAGGGTCAGTGTTCCAGGAGATCCTGAGCAAAGGCACATGGCGGGCAGGATATGAGGAAGTCTGGGTCAGGTAGGGATTAGAGCCTGGACTGTGGCCCCTGAGAGGCCCACATCCTGGTCTCTCTGTCCCTAGAATCTGCCTTGGATGATCTGGACCTGAACGAGTTTGGGGTGGCTGCCCTGGAGAAGACTTTCGATAATAGCACAGTGCCCCACCCCAGCAGCATCACAATCGGTACTGGGCACTGGGTGGGCAGGGTGGCCTGGAGGATGCCTCGGTCCCAGCTAGCTCAGGCCACCTGCTCTGTGTGGCCCATATGGCTTGCCTGGCCCTCACCCAGCCCGCCCTTCGGGGCTCCTCTTATAGGTGGCAGTTTGCTGCAGAGTTCTGCACCCGTGAATATCCCTGGCTCCCTGGGCAGCTCTACCTCCTTCCATTCTGCGTCCCCCTCTCCTCCTGTCAGCCTCTCTTCACATTTTCTACAGCAACCCCAGGGTCACCTGAGCCAGTCAGAAAACACATTTTTGGGGACCTCAGCATCACATGGATCTTTAGGTAAGAGGGGACTAGGGCAAGAATTTTTAGAATGTGCTTTTGGCCACTCTTTGCTTGGCACATCACCCAGGCTAGAGGTCAGAGAAGTGTTTTTTATTTGTTTTACTTTTTTAGACCTTTTTTGGGGGTACTGGGGATTGAACTCAGGGGCTCTCAACCACTGAGCCACATCCCAGCCCTATATTGTATTTTTTTTTTTAACTTTTTTTAGTTGTAGATGGACACAGTATCTTTATTTAGTATTTTTTATGTGGTTCTGGGGATTGAACCCAGTGCCTCATGTTTGTTAGGCAAGTGCTCTACCACTGAACCATAACCCCGGCCCCCTATATTGTATTGTAAGTGTCTCACTGAGTTGCTTAGTGGCTCGCTTTTGCTGAGGCTGGCATTGACCTCCAGATTCTCCTGTCTCAGCCTCCCAAGCTGCTGGGATTGCAGGCATGCACCACTGCACCCGGCTCCCTTTTGTTTATTTATTTTTTAGGTGGGCACATTATTTTTATGTGGTGTTGAGGATCGAACCCAGCACCCCGTGCATGCCAGGCAAGCGCGCTACCGCTTGCCCTATTTATTTATTTATTATGTAGCACTGAGGATTGAACCCCCTAGTGCTTTACATGTGCTAAGCAAGTACTCTACCACTGAGCTACAACCCCCAGTCCCAGAGCAGGGTCTTTAGACTGTAAGGCTCTACCACTCTATGATCCTGGGCAAGTGATTCAGCCTCTGCCTTAAAGAGGTACCAGGACAGGCTAGTGCAGCAAACAGTAGTGGTCTCGGAATCACCATGGCCAACATCTAGCTTTCAGTGTGGTTTTGCCTGGTGAAAAACAAAAACAAATAAGGACGAGGGGTTTAGCTTAGTGGTGAAATGCTTGCCTAGTACTCATGAGTTCTGGCTTTGATCCCCCGTGTCACAGAGAAATAAATTAATCAGTTTTTCCCCCCTAGTCACCCAGAGCTCCCAGAAGACATTCACACCAGGGTCACAGGAGACCAAGGGAGAATGTGACACAGACCCACCCCAAGGTCAGGGTGCTCTTCTAGGCAAAGGTACAGGGAGCCCCAGAGCTAGCCCAGTGGGCTATTTGCCCAGCCCAGCATTATTAAAATATTGGGCACTGGGGCCCTCAAAGACCCTCCAGGTTCAGTGGCCAGGGTCTGGTCTCCTGTGGGGCTATAGGAATGTTCACTGAGGTAATGGGCATAAAACACTTAATCCCCAGCTTGGGTGCCTCTCAATGAGCAGCAGTAGCCTCTCCCACAACCACTTCCCCAGCAGGTATTCCTTGGCCAGGACTGCCCTCCTCTGAGGGGCAGGACCTTCTGTCAGTCAGAGAGCCCTTTGAAGTTCTAATTTATAGCTCAGGAATATAAAAAACATTTGCCTCGTATTTACAAGGCCCTGGGTTCCATTCCCAAAACCACAAAAAGAGAAAAAAAAAATTCTGATCAGCTGTGGGGACTTCCTCTCATTCCAGGGATTTTCCTAGTACCTTCCCAGTTTGGAAGAGGTTCTCTGGGGTGGATTATGTCCACCACCGGGTCATGTTTCTGGTTTGCCCATGTTGCAGAGGCATCTTGATGTAGCCCTGCCTACGGGCCCACATGTGTTTTCACCAGTTTAGTCATACTGAGCAGTCAACCCAGTGGTCTCTGGCACCAGGGCAGGAGGCAGAAGTACAGACATTGGGATCCCAAAAGGGCCTTATGTGTACAGAGCAGTTGAGTACACTTTCTAAGGAAGTGGCTCCTCTCCAACAGAGTAAATGCCACCTACCCGAGAGGTGCGGGCAGGCTGGGCCAGTCATGTCAGTGCACTCATCCAGAGGACCCAGGTTCACAGACAGTGCACACTGCAGAAGCTCCACAGAAAAACATCTTCTTGTATCAATCATTTGTATTGCTCTGAGGACAGAATGTCTGAAATCTGGTTCTAGAACATCTTGGCTAGATTAGTGGGGAAGGATAATATGTGTGGGCTAAAGGAAGCCAGAGATGAAGATGAGTCTGCCAGGAAGCAAGGGGTGCCCTGGGGGCCAAAGAGCAGGGCAGGAGGTATTACTTCCCTACTGTTAGTTGAATGAGTGGGCAGGTGGGTGGCAGCTTTGCCTACAGGGAAGAGCAGACACCACTCATCATTTGTATGATTTTTTTTTTAAACTGGTGATTGAACCCAAGAGTGCTCTACCACTGAACAGCAACATCCTCAGCACATTTTACTTATTTATTCATTCATTTATTTATGGGTACCGGGGATTGAACCCAGGGGCACTTAACCACTGAGCCAAATCCCTTTTTTTTTTTTTTTGTATTTTATTTAGAGAAAGGGTCTTACTGAGTTTCTTAGGGTCTGGCTAAATTGCTGAGGCTGGCTTTGGACTGGAGATCCTCCTGCTTCAGCTTCCCAAGCTGCTGGGATTACAGGCATGTGCCACCACACCTGGCTCCATTTTTCTCTTTTTATGTTGAGGCAGGGTCTCACTAAGTTGCTGAGGATGGTCTTAAACTTGTGATACTCCTACCTCAGTCTCCCAAGTAGCTGGGACTACAGGTGTGCACCACTACACCCAGATTTCTGTCTCATTGTCCTCTGTAAAACAAGGAGGCCAAGGCTCCCTGGCTTCTCCTGCTCCAGCCCTTTTATCACATAAGGTGCTGTCCAGTGGCTCTTCTCCCATATCTCTTCCTCCTGATCTTGTCATCCAGGACCCTCTCAGGCCTCACACTAGGTACAAGAAAGCTCTCTGAGCTCTAGCCTTTTAGATTTCTAGTGATGTCATCACTACCAGTTGTCACCAGTAGGGGCCTTCACAATCCCCTCCCTTGTAATACTTCCTGAGCCCCTAGTCAGGCTAGTGATAGGATCCAAGGTACAGATGAAAACACTAAGACTCATAAGAAGAGCCATTAAGGAGCAGGAAGCACTGAGGTCTAGGTCTGTAACTCAGCCCAGGGCACCTTTACAGCCTACTGACCCGTGTTTGCAAAACACCCTGGCTTGACATGACTAGAGTCTCACATACCCACCCAGTGTCCAATCAGCCCTAGAAACTCCCAGGCAGGGGTGGCCAGGCCCAAGCCCTCCACAGCTGATGTTCCCCCCTTCCTGGGGCAGGTCTGAATGGAATGAACAGCAGCATCTGGGAGCACTTTGCCTCTGGAAGCTTCTCCCCAGGGACTTCCCCTGCCTTCCTATCAGGGCCAGGGGCTGCTGAGCTGGCCCGGCTTCGGCAAGAGCTAGATGAAGCCAACGGGACCATCAAGCAGTGGGAAGAGTCCTGGAAGCAGGCCAAGCAGGTACTAGCCCCACATTACCTGCCATCCCTAATGCCTGGTGGCATCCAGCCTAAGCCCAGCGTACCCAGAGCAGGCATGGGGGTGGGGGGAACCTGGGACCCAAAGAAGAGAACAGAAACTTGTTGGCCCTCTCTCCCTGTGGAGGACTGACCCTGCCAGTTGGGTCACTGGGGTGGCTAGTGCCACAAGCCTGGATTTTCCTTTGAGAGCTGTTTTGTGTCATCTAGCCGCAGAGCCACCTGCTCCTTCCTGGAAGACCCAACTCCCAGGGCTCCAGGGTCCTAGGTTCTGAGATAGGCTGTGGCTGGACAGAAGGCCTAACTGCCCTTGGGAGTTCTGGCAGGGTGTGAGCCCTGCCATGCTAGGCCCTGCCCATGGAAGGAGGGTCTCCTGCAGGTCCTGAAACCTCTCTCCTCTGCAGGCAGCGTCAGCCTCCTCCCTGCCCCCTCCCCAGACAGCAGGCCCAGCTTTCCGGCAGGCCCTACAGCCAGAGTGGCCCACACAGGCTCCCAGAGATGCTCTCTGGGGGGGCAGGGGGGCAGGGGCAGGGGGTCATCGTGATGAGGCGCTGCGTGTTGGGCCCACAGGCTTGTGATGCCTGGAAGAAGGAGGCAGAGGAGGCCGGCGAGCGGGCCAGTGCGGCAGGTGCTGAATGCGAGCTGGCTCGGGAACAGCGGGATGCGCTGGAGGTGCAGGTGAAGAAGCTCCAGGAAGAGCTAGAGCGGCTRCATGCAGGGCCTGACCCCCAGGCCCTGCCCACCTTCCCTGACCTGGAGGCACTCTCGCTCTCTACTCTCTACTCCCTCCAGAAGCAGCTGCGGGCCCATCTGGAACAAGTGGACAAGGTCAGCCTTGGAGGTTAGGGAGCACTGGGTGTACACCATGGCTTCAGCCAGTGTTGGGACCCTTGATCCAGTCCAGCTGCTCCAGGGACAGCCAATCTTCTGAGAGCCTCTGCCCATCACTAAGCCAGCATGGGCAGCAATGCCCATTCCTAGTATTCTTGACCTAAGCTGCATTCGTGTGCCTGGGCCCTGAGTGGCATCCTCTTATAGCTCTCCACATATCAGCAGTGAGGGCTTTCCTGTCTGCATTGCTAGATGCCCTGTTGGGTCCCCATCAGCCATGTGCCCTTGTGGAAAGAGCTGGCAGTAGGTTTCAGCAACCAGGCCCCTTGGCATGTCACAGTCCTCTCTAGGCTTCATTTTTCTCACTTGGGGGGCCTAGAGTCACTAAGAGATAAAGTGAGTCAAGAGGCATTAATGTCTGTCAGGAGAAGGCCCAAGGCACAGAGGCTGCAGCCCCAGCTTGCTCCCTGGCCCCAGTCAGATCCACTCAGAGTGGTGGGCAGAGCCTGAGCTGAGCAGCCCAAGCTCTCACCCTGCTCCTGCTTGCCAGCAGCGTCCTATAAGCAACTGTTGAACTCTGGGCCTCAGTTTCCTCCTCCCACGGGGCAAGTGAGAGTCAAGGGAACTCCTTGCTTGACTTGGGACCAGGCTGGTGACCACAACCTCACTTTCCCTGCAGGCTGTGTTCCACATGCAGTCGGTGAAATGCCTTAAGTGTCAGGAGCAGACTCGGGCGGTGCTACCGTGCCAACACGCTGTGCTGTGCGAGCTGTGTGCCGAGGGCAGTGAATGCCCTGTCTGCCAACCCGGCAGGGCCCATACCCTCCAGTCGTGACCTTGCAGGCCTGGCCTGGCCTGGCCGGACCCAGATCTCTCACCTAGAACTCTTTATATATATATATATATATATATGTATGTATGTATGTATGTATGTATGTATATGTATATGATTATGTACATGTATACATTTGTGTGTGTGCCGGTATGCGTGGTGGCCAGCGTATGCAGTGTCTGTGTGTATATCTGTACATAGATATAGACACACACTTTAAAACAGACTTACCAAGCACTTTTTAAAAGAAAAGACTATTTTGCAGTCCTCCCCTACCCGCTCCCCCCCTTTCTGCTCAGAGACAAAGTCCCTTCTTCTCCCACTGGCCTTTTGGCAGAGAATCTGTTTCTGTCTTTTTTATGTAGGAACTAACTATTTTTAACTTCTTCTTGGGGCCTAAGTGGGGAAGGGTGGAAAGCTGGAAGGGGATAAGGGGAGGGGAGAAGCCTTCAGGGCAGGCCCTGCTCACCCTGTCTCTCCAGGCCCCCCTGGGTGGGTGGACCTGGTTCCCAGATGTGAGGGCCTCAGGGAGGCCTGAGGGTGTGCTGGGGGTTGACGCCAGTCAAGCTCCTAGGTTTACCAAATGTGTATTTAGTCCTGGGGACCATGGCGAGGGCTGGCAGGCCAAAGCTACAGGGCCAGCCCCCTCCCAAGTTGGGCCCTTGAAGCCCCTTGAGGGGCAAGGCCCAGTTATGTCCCCCTCAGTTCTTCCCTCTTGGGCGCCCCGGAACAGCCTTCCTGGCCCCAGGGCCACCTGCCAGGCTGGCACTGCCCTCAGCTGTCCCTGCCCTGGCCCCTCTCTGGTGTGGCCTCTGTGCAGTTCGCCCCCTCCCTCTGGCAGCTAGCAGGGCAATTGTTGGGGAGGAGTGCGGCCTGAGGACCAAGGGGGCGCAGGCCCTGCCCTCCTGGCAAGAGGGGCTCCGTATGCATTCCTTGGTGCTCTCCGAGTGCAGCTGACGTCCTGCCCATTCTAGGCAGACGCCCGTGTGCATGTGTGTGTGTGCTGTCCAGTGTATATTGTGTCTTAGCTTCGATTTTAAAAGTCATTCTGTACAGAAAGAGATGCAGCGGGGGTGGGAGGGCAGAGTGGGCAGAGGGAAGTGACCTTGCTCCCAGCTCTGGGTGTTGGGTGGGCTCAAGAGGGTTGCAAAGGGTCTGCCCTGGCCCAGGCCCCCCTTGGGCTCAGCACGAAAGGGCTTTCAATGAATTAAGTGAAAACTTTTCTCCTTTTTTACAAAAATGCAAAAATCAACAAAGCAGATCTATTGGAAATAAAATATGAACTTGCAGTGGTACTTATTTACATGGGGGTGTGRGTCCCCAAGCACAGGCCTTCAAACTTCGAGACAGGCAGGACCCCTGCCTCAGGCATGGAATGGCTTCCTCCCACATCCTTAGGTGTGGCAGAGCAGCTGCCAAGGCCTAGGGCATGTCCAGGTGCATAGTCCACCACAGCTTGAGTGCCCGGTGACACAGGCCTGCAGGTGACCTTTTAGCCTTGAATACTGATAGCTCCCAGGCCATGCGACTGTTCTGTGTAGGTCTTTCCTCAGCTATGAGTGGTTTCTTTATTGTTGATGTTATCCAAAAGGCAGTAGACAATACTGTCCCTTTGGAATGGTTTGCATAAGAGCATAAGTAGGGAATGGCACTGAGGAAGTACCCTGCCTCTTGCCTTCAGAGGGGCCCATGCTCTAGGCGCCAAGTCTTTCTGCCCTGCTACCCGCATCAGGCTGTGTGCTGGGGGTAAAGAAAACAGGGCAGGCTTCACATGACCTCAGAACTGCCCAGCTCCAGCTCTTCCATCAGCTTGTACTGATTTGGATGTTAAGGGACTTCATCTGGGTCACAGCTAAAATGACCACTGGACTCCCAGTGTGCAAGGGGCCCCCTTCCCCTCAGCAGGGCTGCCCCTTATGCTGTCCAGAGCAGCCACTCAGCCTCGTGGTACACCTGCCCCTCTCTTGGGCAGTGACCACCATAACTGATGGGCCTGATAAAATCTGCCAAAGCCCACAGTCAAAACTGTTTTAGCCACCTCAGCACCTGCTTGTGGCAGCTGTGCCCATACCCTCTTCCCTGCTTTGAGGCATGGGGGCAGCTTTGAGGCTCCTGAGGGATGAGGAGGCCAGCTGGCCTGAGTCTTTGGTAACCCTCTGGATGCCAACAGATAATCCTAAGAGGGCTGTGGATAATTTTTTAATTTTTATTTTTTTCTAAGAAAGTTTCTAGATGATAGATACCTCCTGAAGGAAGAACCCTCAGCAGACGCAGTCACATTGTGTTTTCTGCTGTCCATTGGTGCCAGCCCTGCTGCCTGCCAGCTCTCATTCCAGAGCCAGAGTCCTTTGGTCTCTCCAATAATGGCCACCACCACCTTCCCCTGGGGCAGCTGGAGCCCCAGGGAGGCTGTGCTCACAGCGTGGGTCCTGACAGTCTGGGCCCACCACATCCTAGCAAAGCTGAAGGAGGAAGGCCAGGAGACAGAGGGCTCTAGACCCTGGCCCACCAGAGCAGTTTTTGCGGGGGAAGCAGGGGCAGGAGTTATTCCTCTGTGCTGGGATGTGTCAGAGAATGCTGAGGCCAGGGCTGGAGGGAAGAAGGGAGGCAGTTTAAATACTGTTAATAATGCACCCATCACTGTGGCCATGGGAGAGTCTAGAGAGGCTGCATTCTGACCGCTACACTTGCTATGGCTCTCCAAAAGTTAGGCCAGGCTAGGGGAATGAACCGTGGTGGGGAAGACTCCACCAGGGACCAGCCCCATCCCCCAACTCCTCCTCTATTGCCCTGGCCTTAGGGCATGCTGGGAGGCCTGCTTGGCTCGCTGCCTCCTCAGCCTCACAAAAGCCTGGGCCTCTCGATCACCCTTCCGGCTCTCCAACAGCTGCAGGATTGGATCTCCTGTGGAGAGAAGCCAGAGGCCATGTCTGGGAGATGGGGGGCAGGCGGGGACACAGCACTGCCCCACCCATCATCACCAAGCTGAAAGAAAACCAGTGACTTGACAACTAGCCAAACTTCAAGACACAGCTGGAAGATGAGAGTGCTTGGACTGCCTGAGGTGGTGACTACTACCTTCCTGAAGAGAACCTGAAGCTAGTTAACTCTTTGTGCCTTAGTTTTCTGGTCTCTAAAACAGCTAATGATAACACCTGCCTCACTGATGGATTGTAAGAATTGAAAGAGTTCATGTACACCAAGTACTCAGAACTGACTCACGATATGTGCACAAAGGTGAACTATTCCTATTAAAAAGCTGGGAGAATTCTTTGTAGGGATGTGCCCCTCACAGAACCAGGCTTCTTCCTCTCCCCAAAGAAACTCATTGGTGACCTTACCCACCAGAGAGAAGAGTCACCCAAAACTTCACTGAGCTTGAATCTCATTGGTCTCAAATCAAGAGATTGGCCAAGCACTTATTCCACTGGCTTCCATCTCCCAAGGAAGCATTTCTCTAGGGTCCCTTCCTGAGTTTCCAGGTGTCCCGTCTACCCTGCCCTATCCTGGGATTCAGGCCTACCATTGGGCGCAGGATACGTGAGAGGCAGGCGCATCTGGGGCGCCTCACTGGGCTCAGAGCTGGTCAGCCCAGGCACCCCACGCAGTGGCAGGAAGGCCTCTCCTTCCAGGTCATCAGCCCCCAGTGTGTCATGGTCCAGCACCGTGAGCAGGAGGCACGACCCATCCTTCTGGCATGGCTCAGCAGGCACCAGGCTGGCAAGGACAGAATCAGGCTCAGCTGCTTGCCCAAGACTACCATCACCTTACCCCTGCTCCAACACATGGGTCACCCCTCATTGAGCACAAGCACATTACAAAGTCAGCTCTGCCTGGCTCCTCTCAGCCATGTACATGACACCTGCTCTGACCATGGGCTGATGCTTTAAATCAGGGGTCCTGTGGCCCCAGGTCCACCTGTCTTGGGCAACAGAGAGCAGATCCCTGAGGACCTCAAAGTCAGGACCCTTCCCTGGAAGGCTTCAAATTTTACCTTCCCCTCAGTGGAAGAAACCTTTGTCCCAAGTGCCCTTTCCTTAAGTCCAGTGTGGTCATCTCAGGGGTCCCTTGAAGGAGGCTCAGGGAAGGGAAGCAAGGGGAGGAACTAGAAGAATAGGGACCCACTCACAATTCAAAGGTCTCATCAAACAGCGGGTGAAGGTCCTTCTTGTGTTTCTGGGTCTCCCTGGGTGCCAACTCGGGGAACTCATGCCTGGGTTCCAGGGTCAGCTGGACAAAGGGGTCGCTGGAGCCTAGGGGAAGGGTGCTGCCAGGGTTCTTCCAGTCCTCCCCTGCAGCTGTGCCACTCAACAGCCCTGCGCCTCATGAGAAATGCACCCAGAACTCCTCCACAGCCCCAGGGACACTGGCAGGGAGGGCCATAGAGGAAGCAGTTAGTGGTCAATAACCAGCTTCCACTCACCATTGGAGTCCAAGGGCCGCAGGCCGGAGGCACTGAGCAGCTCCACATGCAGCTTCTGCTCAGAGGCGCGGTAAGAGGCCTTGACGGTGACGGCGCCCAGCTCCTCAGAGGTGGTTTCCACCTGGTGTGGGTTGCATACGCAGGGTCACCTGGGCAAAGCAGGATGAGGCCAACTTCAACCCTGGTGGGCGTGGGGGTGGGGGAGGGGAGCCTCACCTGCTGCTGGATGCGACTGCAGAAGTACTTCTGAATGAGCTCCCGGCTGGAGGCCGCCTGCAGTTCCAGGTCCCTCTGTAGAGCCTAGAAGGACACATCTGAGTACCACCTGAATGTCAGTCAGCCGTCACCAGGCTCACAACTGAGGCTGAGACATGACTTCAAAAAGGAAGCTCTGGGGCTATAAGACCATGAACAAAAATGCACCTTCAGCAATGCCTGAGGTTTTGGGACAGAGGCACAGACAGTAGGCTTCTTGGGCATGCCCCCATCCTATGCAGGAGCACTGGGCCCCTGTGCTTTGAAGGATTCCACACCTGGGTTAATACTCTGTTGTCACCATCTTAAATTTCTTTCCTTTTTTTTTTTTTTTTTTTTTTTGCAGTGCTGAGTATTGAATCCAGGATCTTGCACATGCTAAGCAAGCATTCTACCACTG